GTACGGACGCCCCCGAACATGTAAGTGTACAAGTAAGCGCTGGTAGACATAGAGATTGCATGCCTTCTTTCGACACAAATATGAGATCCTTGCAAATAGGGAAATCACTCACAACGGAATGCAGTAAAGATTGGAATAGTCGTATCGGTTGTTGCAAAATTGACCCGAAGATGGAACAAGATGTAGAAGCAAAGTCTGCGCTAACTACAACTCCCTCTTGATACCATCCGATAGCCTCCTCCAACATATTCTACACAACAACACACTCAGTTAAGGAGATAAGGAGAGCTCTAATGTGATTTACGTTACAAAGTAAACTATCAAACGGAGGGGACTTGCAACGTAGCATTTTAGACAGGGCACAACCAAAAATTCATCTATAGCATAATTGCTAGTCTCACAACTTACACTTTCTCGAACGTCTCATTTAATTAGGCAGGAGAGGCACAATCCCACTGACTGCACCAGAGTGACCTGACCCCTGACAATGTACGCTGGTACACAATAGTGTCTCCAGAACAGATGGACACATCAATCTAGAACTCACGGCACTTAGCTCCAGCCACATTTCTAGTACACTCAGCCTTATGTCATTTCCAGTGTCAGCTTCTACCGGGCCAGCACTGCTAATTGGAGTAAATAAAATCTCAATCAGTCTGCAGAACACATCTGAGAGAAGAAAAGGACGAGGAAACAATCAAAGGATAGTGAAAGCATCTCACAACGACCCCACAGGAAGTACGAAAGCTTCTGAAAGGCTTTTCTTTAAAAGATATAAGCGAGCAAGCCTACTATAGCTTGAAAGGTAGAAAGACTGGTGCCTAAAGAGACAAACAAAATCGGTTGAAAACAAAGGGGCCGGACACTTCGTGTGCTGGCTTTCGGAAACCGTGCGCTGGCTTTCAGACCCTTCTTCGTTAAACGATTTCCCAGTTAAATTTATCCTTCAGCAAACTCCTAGACCAAAGGACCCACAGTGATATTTCATAAGAGCACTTCCCATTGGTAACACCCAACTGCGCTGGCAACGTTGCAGAGGTCCTTGAACCCTAGTGCTCTGAAGCAACCAGATCTATCACGTGTTTCTTAGATGTCTGCAGGAATTTCCTGGCTTGTGATTAAGTTTTAGGTGGTGTCATTGAAGCTTCGAGAAAGACCATATCTCCCGACGTGCACTCCAAACCGTGTCAATTCCGCCAAAATGTTTTCCCAAAACGGTGTTTCATACACAACTAGCTCACAAGGGAAAGGAATTGAACTCTCGGGAGGCGATTGTTAGTAACCTCAAGAACACGAAGGTTGCTAAAAAGGAAGTGTGAGGAAGCCGATCCTGCTGTTCACGTCCAACCTAAAATCAATTCAATCCCAAAACCAAGAGCTCAAGAGCAAGGCGTGAGCCGACCTCGCTAGGCTATGGTGCATTCATCGAAAACGCCAAAAAAGCAGCAACCACACAGCTGCTGTGAACGAAACGTTCAATGATCAACCTCGCAGGGCTTGCACATGGGGAGGACCCACCCAACCCATACGTTCAGTCACCCTTAAGAAAACTACCAAGCATTCCAATCCCACGACTAGCGCAGGACCATAATCGCCAACACGAGGCTGACTACCGATTGCGAGCAATCATTTCATCAATCCACGCCCCAGAATCAGAAAACAATCAATCCGAAACCGCCCGCCTCTCCTAGTGAAACAAATGGAGTACTCACATAACCAGACAGAAGCCACAGTCATCATTCATTCCTACAGAAACACCCAAAACAACGCAACCTACAGGCTACAAAGCTCTGAACAGAGTTCACTACCTCAGCTACACCATCATCACATGACGCCTCCGCAGGCACACCATCTATGCCTGACAACAATTGCCAGTCTAGTAGGCCACCCGAGCTCTCTCTGACCTCTCACCTCCACAAACAACAAAACCACATTCCACTGCACACAACACCAACACTCCTACCAATCAACCCAACCTCCATCACTATTGAAACAAACACGCGACCACTTCACTAACGACCATGACACCACCGCGAGATGCAGCAGCAGCTTTAGAGCACACAACTTCTAGAAGCGCTATTTTGGGGGATTTGGGTACTCACCTACACAAATGCAGCCCTACACAGCAAGCGAGCGAGCGAGCGAGAGAGAAAGAGAGAGGTAGAAGGACTAAGCCCTACAGAATCAACAGAGCTGCCTAGATGGATGCAGCCTGTACCCTTTGCCACACACACACACATACTCACTCACACACACACTCACACAGCCTGCCTGCCTGCACACAATACGGTAGAGCACCAGTGCCACTGCTTCCTTCCCCCACAACACCCTGCTACTCAAGCGCCCCAAAACCATCCACTACGAGAAATAATAAGAACACCACCACAGCACCAAGCCAAGCCGAAAATTCGGCACTGATCGCTCGCTCCCTCGCACTTCTTCTCCGTCCCCGTCTCCGTGCCTGCCTGCCTGCCACCTTTCTTACTTTCCCTCCCTCCCTTAAGCTCACTCTCCCCCCTGGCAACTAAAATGGCACGCATCCCGGTGCAGAGGAAGAGCCCTCCCTCCTCGTCAGCCCAGATGGTTGCAGCAGCTTCGATATCTTTCTTTCTTACTTTACTCACTTTACTTACTTGCTTACTATGCTACACTATTCTATCCTTTTTCTTCTTCTTCTTCTTGCCATTAGATTAGATAGAGTCCCTCTGCCTGCCTTCCCTTAGGATGCATCCTGTTCCTCTTCCTCTTCCCCCTGGATGCTAAAACCGCCATCTTTGGGGGGCTGGCTGGAAGGGGGTAGAAGAGGATCAGGTAGAAAGCAGTGGCATCACACTCATGGACACGAGCAGACAGACTCAGAGAGAGAGAGAGAGAGGCACAGGTTGTAAGACAGACAGACAGAGAACATGCAGGAATATGCAGGAATATGGAGGAGGGACATATAACATAACATAACATAACATGGACGAATGAAAGGATAGGAAGGAAGCATAGTCCCTTTACTTACTTACTTACTTTACTTTTCCTTTGGGTTTTGTGGGGGGCAGTGTTGGGAACCCACAGAAACTGCCCTTCTCTTCCCTTCCCTTACTGGATTTGTGGTTTGTTGCCTCTGCAGATGTTGGTCACCTATGTTTAGTTCTTGTTTTGTTTATGTTTTTATTTTTATTTTTGGGTTTTATTGACCACTGTGCTCTCCATGTATTTGCTTCTTGCATGATGTTGGGGGTGTTTATACCAAAGAAATGTGAGTGGGTTGTGTGATGAGATAACTCAGGTGTTTATACTTGGATGTATAATAATCATCTCTGGTATTGCCATCCATAATAACATGCCTGTTTTTAGTTTAGTTTAGATTTTTTAGTTTTTTTGTGATTTTTATTTTGGGGTTCAATGTGCATTGATTATATTGGCTGATTAAGGGTCTTATCATTTGAAATTGCCAAACAACAAATTTTGCATTGAGAGTTATATTTTGATATATACATATATGCACATGTGTGTGAGAGTGTGGTGATAATTAGACCTTGTTTGTTTGGTGATTGACTGAAAGCAGTGGTTAAAATTTGGTGGAGATGCCAAACAGAAAAGACTGAATGAGTTGTCATTGTTCCTATGGTGTTAAGGCAAATTTTGAAATGCTTTTACAGATAGAATTTTCAAGACACCAATGCAACAGAATTGGCATATAATCATCGTATTGAACTAAAATTTAAAGCAAATCAAATAAAACAAAGAATACCTACATAACACAAATCGTTTATGTATGAATGTATATGTATTCAAATACCATGCCTTCATAAAAATTTAAATCTTAGTCAGTTCATCTGTGAATCAAGGTTTAATTTAAAATGGTGAAGGCAACCATGTGCAAATCTCATCATGTGGTCTATGCAATTCTGACATCAAACACAAAATGGTTTTGTATTTCTAAAGGTGGTACTGACTTTGTACAACAAAGTGGCAAGGTTCTTTTGGGAATTTAAAATTCTTGGGAATATTTAAAGATATTTTCAACAGATAACCGATGTTAAATAATTAAATAATTATAATTTTACTATAAAAATAAAAGATTTGAAATAAGTTGTATGCTTTATAGTTGTGTTAAATAAATTCTAGACTCCAGAATATCTTAAACAACATTAATATTTCCAACTATTTTTTTTTTTAAAAAAAATTATTGTAAAACAGATAAATTATTAATTTATTTTGGGATTTGTTTTTGTCAAAACTTATAATAAGAATTTAAGGATTTTTTTCTTTTTCTTTTTATTTTTTCATTATAACATAAGAAGTATTAACAATTATAGAATGGTGTAGCTATTGTTAAAGTATTTTTTATTGAATAGTTTTTACATATCTTTAAACTAATAGCATATAATGATATTAAGTATTAGTTACAAGTAGTTAATAATATATGATTAAATCGTTTCCTTGCTTTATAGCCACTACTATACTAAAAATGACTTAGAGTTATATTAAAAACTCATGAAATAGCTATAGAAAATAGATATTAAGGTAACAAAGCAAATAATATAATTAAATTACTAAACGATAATATATATATATATATATATATATATTTGAGACTTTAAATATGTATATTATTATAAATAGTATTATGGTATAAATTTTTATTGAATTATTAAATAATAAATAATAACAATCCAACTTAGTATTTTATTTTCTATTTTCTATTTTTTGCTTATCACATGTGATTGAAAAAATATGTTTTTTTGATTAAAATATATTTTTTGATTAAAATATATCATCAAATTTTGTATAGAAAAGTTCAAAAGATATTTTAAAAAATAAAAAATGATTTGATTCATTTTTATTTTTTAAAATAATATATTTCTAGTTAAATATTTAAACACACACACACCCACACTCACACACACACACATATATATATATATATATATATATATATATATATATATAATAGTTATAATATAACATAGATATATGTAAAGTTTTACTACAAGTATTATTTTTTTACTTGCAATTTTGTTATAATTATTCTAAACTTTGAAAAATAATTGTAAAATGAATATAAGATTGTATATTCTAACGTATTGTTAAGAATATTAAAAAGATTTTACTAGATTATCATGCAATGGAGATGCTTTACTTCATAATTATTTAATTCTAAGACGTGTAAAAATTGAAGTCATATACTTTGCTTCTTCATTAAGTTGTGATAGTACAAGAACATCTTAAAAATCCTATTGTAGGCCAATAACTCTAGGATGTAGAGAAGTTCTACTTTTTTGAAAAATATTTTAAAATCTAACTTTGCTTTGTAAGTTGAGATAAGCCCTAAGAGCTTTTAAGAATAATCTTCAAAAAACTTTAATGAATCCCAAGGAATGTCACCTAAAAAGTAGTATTTTAATTGAAGATATTAATGTGAAAGTACAATAAGTAATATGATTGGGTGGATCACAAAGTTAGATGAAAACATGTACTTATCACAAAGATATTATCAAAAACATTTAGAATGGTAATGAATAGTATTTTTTTCAAATCTAAAGAAAGTGAATGCATTGATCATTTTATTTTTGAAAAAATAGCTAAAATGCTTAGAAGATGCTATAAGTTAAATAATAAAAGTAAAAAAAAGCATAAATTAGTTTTTTTTATTAATATTACATATAAATAAAATATACAAATATTAATAAAAAATTATTTCTAAGAGTTTATAAAAAAAATTACTAAAGTTTTTGACATATGATATTTAAACATGATTACTAGATTTACAGTAGTTTTTTTTCTTAAATTAAAGTTGATAATAAAAAATAAAATGAAATTGTGGCATTGAAACAACTTTGTATATAGTCAAAATCAAAACTCTACTAAAACCATATTAAAAAAGACTCTAATAACATCTTATCTATTTTTTAAAATTTAACAAAACATGGTATTAAAGTTCTAGCATAACTCCTCAATAAATTTTACTAAATATAAAATCCATACTTGAATTATATAAAAAAAATCTTTAAAATGAATTAATTAAATAAATATCAACATTGATGAACTGGGAGAACTAATTAATATATTTGGTCAAAATTAGATATGTGTAATTTAGATTGGTTTATTAAAAAAAAAAATTCAATTAGCCCTTGTAGAAAAGATTCAATATATATATATATACATATATATACCTCAAAGGTGTTATTAAAAAAATATTTTATAATCCATAATTAAATGTCAAAGCTTGAAAAGTCACAAATTCTTTATGTCATACTTAACTTAAAAAAACTGTGTCACTTATTTTTGAGTATGTATATTTATCAAATAGCCAATGGATAAGAGACTTATTATTTTATATGATGAATAGTACAGTTATAAAAATAAGAATATATTATTGGATTTTAGAATAGAGTCTTTTTTCTTTTTATACAAAAAAATCAGTAGAATTTAGTATAACCTTGAATTGAATTAAATTAGAATGTTGAATTGAATTTTATCAAAGTATTTCAAAATATTTCAAAATATTCAATTTCAAAACTAAAATTAGAACAAATAAAATAGGCAACATTAGAATTTTACTGTAAGGACCTTTTGTATGATTGTTCATTGAAATAACTGGAAATTATTATGACACTTCTTGATTTGATTTTGATTTTGATTTTTAAATAGAACTTAAAGAAAAACTCGTCTAAGATACAAATATCATGCATAAAAGTTATATACAGTATTTGGCACATGTGAAAAAATAAATATGTTATTTATATCATACAAGTTTTTTTTTTTTTTGGTATTTATATTTATATATATACACACACATAAATGTTACTTAACAGCATGAAGTCACTAACTAAAAGAATAATTTCCTCTAAGTCAAGTTTTTTTCTGTTAGTTTAAATTATTTAGCTGATAACTGTAATCATGTCATAGGTTATGTTAAATTATTTTCACCCGTTTTAAAATTAAAAAATATAAACAGTTACTCACATGATAGTATAAAAATATTGATATATATTTTATCAAACTATCTCTCTAAGTCCTAATTAGATTTTCATGTATTAATCTACTCATTTGTACTTGGTAATTTCTTGAGATTAACAAGATCAAACAAGAGTTTTTAGGTCACTGTTAATCAATAAAAAAAACCAAATATAGTTCTTTCATTACTATCCAAAAAATATGGCTTGAGTCAACTGAAAGAAGTTATACAATTAGCATGCATGGTGATTGATAAGATGGTATCAATTATAAGGGTGGTTAGGTCAACTGATGAAATAATGTCATATTTTGACCTTACATACAAAAGCAATTTTGTACCTGGTCTTGGATACTTTTGATGGTGGTAATAAAATAAATAAATAAATTATATATATATATATATATATATATATATATATATATTTTTTCATAACTTTAAGATATATTCAACTAAATAAATTATAAAGAATACTAATTTATGATTTTCTTTTTCTTCTTCGTATATGTGTCATGCATTATGTTAATAATGTGTATTAATTTCTAAAATATAGTAATGATCTAAAAATATTAATGTAAACATTTAGATGAGAAATAAAAATTCACGATAGAAGAATAAGAAATATATATATATATATATAAGAACAATATTCAGTTCTCCTATGTAAAATTCACAAAAAGCTTAAATGAAGATTGTACAGAATTTTTTTGCATCTAATTCAATTTTCAAAGTTTATTGTGCATATCAGTATGAATCAAATGTAAAAGAGTTACATTATAACATTTCTTCTTTGAGAAAAAAATTAAAATAAAGGAGTCAATTTTCTTTAAATAATCAATAATCAAGAATACAAATGCCATCAAGACCAAAATAATTTATTATGATAAAAATCATAAAATAAATAAATTCAGATATAAAGTATTTTTTTTACAACCAAATGTTATTTATGATATCAAAATAGAAGCAATATGGACAAAAGAGATAACAAAAAATCTATCACTTAATCTCAAAATAAGTAGATAATATTAGCATCAAATATTAAAAAAGAAAATTATTCAAAATAATTTTAATTTTAATTATATATATATATATATATATATATATAGGGCCCTTTTTTTCTTAATTAATATTTTTTTCTTAATTGATATATTGCAAAAAAAGATATTAGTTATCAAAGGTCATCAATTATTAGAGGTGGTGTGTTGAAGGCAAGATGGAAATCATCTCTTATCAAATCACAAACAGCCATTTGGCCATGCTTTACTCAATCACAAATAACCATAGAACAAAGTCAAATTCTAAAATCTTGATTTAGTTATTAAGAGTTATTGATTTTTTATGAATATCATTATATGAATGTCAATATGCTTTCAATTCATTTGAAAACTATAAATATATATATATATATATATATATAATCCACTTGAAATTTGCACATAATATGTATATTTTATTTTTAATGAACACGTATCAATTTAAATCACATGTATATTTTAATTCAATCTTGATGTTGCCAGGTAAGCCTAGCTTATACATTTGCTTATCATCCACTACAAAATCAGCATAATCTTCTTTCTTAGCATTTTATTATTTGTTATTTATTATTTTTTTACTTGTATATCATTTCATTACCATGATGTGTTATTTGCTGTATGATAACATCCAAGTTCATTGTGTGTAAAAAGTCAAATCACAATAAGGCCATATTTTGCAACTCCTTCATTGTGAAATCCCTCTTGAAGGAACTTTATATATATATAAATAAATAAATAAAACTCAAACTCATTATCAAATGAAACTACTTTGAAGACATGTGAAAGAGTGCCAAGCCCATTTTTACTTTATGCATTTGGAAACAACCAAACTCAGATCCAGTCCTCTCAAGTAACTCACAACATTACACCAAACTGAATGCATTCCAAACATAAAATAATGCTTTCAATCATTCTTTGCCTTTGTTGTCTTCTCTGTCTTTGTTTTGTTTTTTATATTCTGTCATGCTCTACTCTTATACATTTCTTTTAAAATATACTCTCTTTATGTCTTGTCACATACTCTTCACTCCATACATACATACATACATACATACTCACTCAGAGAGAACGAGAAACATATAACCTCAGACCCATCCCAAGGGGTGGATGAATGTGTGGATGAATGTATGGATGGCAGTTCTGCAGACACTTTGGGCACCAATGGGTGCACGACTGATGGTGTCCATGGGGTGTGATTCAACATGTCCCATCAGAGACCAACCTTGGAGTGTTCCCTTTTTGTGCCTTGTTGGGTCCCTAAAGAATGGGCAACAACAACAATGACATGGTCTTGTCCCTCTTTAATACCCCCCAAATATATATCCACATGCACACACACACACACACACACACATATATATATATATATATATTTTTGGTCACAAACAAATCATTGATACTTGTTAGTTAGTTAGGTAGTTTGTTTTTGTTTTTGTTTTTTTCAATTTTGGTGATAGTCTTTATTTAAAGCATCAAAGTGTGATTCATGAAAAGACAAATTTTAGCATGTTGGTAAAAGAAAATGTGCTATAGATATATAAATAATGTGTTAGTGAATGAATGTGGGGTGGTATTAGTTATGAGCACTTTTGAAGTGTGGGTGAGTGCAATTAGAGAGATTCATAGTGTGTCAAGACTTTTTCTATGGAATGATGGGGTACAATTGAGAGGTTTTGTGGTTGTTTGTTTTGCACCAACCACTTGCCATTTCAATGGTGGATGAGGAAAGGGACATAAAGGGCTCTTTTTGAGGGAATTGTAGAATTGTTTTTGTTATTGGGTTGGAAGGGACACCCTTCATGCACTTGGTGTGAGATTAGAATTTCCAACTCATCACTTTCACCTCATCTATTTTCAAAATGGAAGAAAAAGGAGTTGAAGGAAATAAGAGAAGAAGAAACTCCACCATTGAAATAACATGGAGTTTTCAAACACAAAAGCAAAATTGATTCATTGTTGAGGTTAGATTTGAGATTAAACTTGTTCATTTTGCAAATACATCAAGAGTCACAATCATTGAGAAATGGGAGTGCATGCTTTGGATGTCATTATTCCATATTATTTGTTACAATTTCATACAAAACCATAATGTGTGTATATGTATGTGTGTGTATATATATATATATATATATATTTTGCTAATGCCACCATTGTTTTTACTATTGCTACCACAAATACATGAAAATTTGATAGAAAATTTATTCAAATTTTTCTTTTTACTATCACAACTTTTTTCTTTATGATTCAATAAATATATATAAATATATATATATATATATATATACAAGTTACACTATTATTATTATTTTTTGATTGAAAAAAAAAAAAAAAAAAACTACAGAAATATGTTGAGTGGGTGGTGGTGGCAATAGCAACATATGTCATGAACCCACAAAGGCAACAAGAGACTCTCACAAACAAAACCTAAGACCACAAGACCATACAAACACCACACACAAGATGATGTGAGAGTGCAGCCAGAAGCATTGTTTGGTAAAACCAAAGCTGCTTCTCAAGGTGGGTAGTAACCATAAGCTCATGATCAGTTTCTTCACTAAAAATCCAGTGACATGATTCATGTTTGTCTCACTTATTTATGCATATATGTATGTATATATATATATATATAGAATTCTATTCATGTTCACTGTGAATCTGTGAAGTGAGGCTATGGAGTACCTTTTAGGGTTTACTACTTGGGGCAGCGAGGGTGGGAAGGAAGTGAGTGGGCACAGCAGGAATGTTAGTACAGGGAAAGGAAAAGGCGACGAATCTTGTCTGGCTCTATTGCGATCTCACTTCCATTCTCTGGCACCACATTCCTTGTTTGTCCTCATGCGTGCATCATACTCGCGCGTACAACAAAACATGGTGATGCTTGGCAGGAGCTTGTTTTGTTTTGTGTTTTTTCTCGCTCTCTCTCTCTCTCTCTCTCTGGGCTGCTTGTCTTCCCATTTACGATGCTCTCGATATGTGCTACAGGAAGCGTTGCTTACGAGAGAGAGTGGGATAGGAGTTTGGCTTCTTGTTTCTCAACCTTTGCGTGTTACTGTGTCGCGGCTCGAATGGTTGGTGAATTTCAAGTTTGTGGGGTTGGAACCGTATTGGGCCATGTTCGTAGGTGATTAGTGTTGTGTTTTTGGGGGTTAATTAACTTGTAGGGTCGCCTGGCTTCTGATTCTGCTGCTGTTGTCGTTTTGCATCCAACTTTCTGCAGTTTTGTGTCTTCTGAGTTTGTTAACGTCGCTTGTAATGTGTGATGATGTGTAATTGAAGGTTGCAGGAGGGGTATGGCAGAAACGCAGCGCGCAGGGCGCGTAAACATGTGAGCGCATGATGGAAGGCCGCCAATCAGATCTACCGCCGGTTTGCGAAGCAAGCGAAGCGTCAGAGCACAATGTGTGTGAAAGTCCTGGCAACTATGCACTGGGCAGACAAGATTGAGCTCGTAGCAGGAACTCGCGCCTGCAGCTCCAGCTAAAGTCCCCAAGATTTCCCCCCTGCTACACCCGATTTTGAATGATGGGACCACTGCTCCGAGACTGTTGCAGTGTACCAAACCCACCTATGATCACGTGACGCTGCCAATTCATCCCCAGGTCCGATCGACAGGGGAGACAGAAACTCCAACAAATTAAATAAACTGCATCAAAATTAAAATAATCCACGTATTGCCGTCAGAGGACTTGGTTGCAGAGAAATTTGTGGAGATTTCGTTTCGGTACATTGCGCTCGCAGATGCCTGCGTGAAGGCCGTGCTGTGCTCCTGGTTTGGTGGGTGAACTGATTACTCAGAATAGTATGGTACAATGGTACTGCTGCAGCAGAATCAGTCATGATAGACTGATATGATAACAAAGCCTACTCAGGTCGATCAATCCTTTCTAACCTTGAGCAATGCTGCAGTGCCGTGATTGAGTTCTTCATAATGGCATGCTTGAGAAAGGCATGAGGAAACGCCTCCTTTATTAGTCTTGGTGAGTTATTGCTTGATAAGTGAGAGACCCACCTCTTTGATCGTCAATCTTCGACCTTGAACTGGATATCTGCTAGCAATCCCGGATTTTAGACTACGGCAATGGCCTGCTCCACCTGCTCAAGTGGGAATCTTCGAACAGAACCTCTCCAACTGCCCAACGATAAATCACAATTTTTGAGCCATGATCGACTGTCGACATTGCGTCGTGCCGATGCAAGCTTTGCATCTGCAGACGTGAAATCTCTATAGATTGCCTGATTGAGAAGCGCAACATGCAGTGGTAGCTGCATTGATCAAGACATGGAATGACGCCGCCCCCGCCGCCGCTGCGGCACAAGAGCGCAGGAACCAAGGGTGGGCATGGGGCTCTGCCTTGCGGATTCTATGGAAGAGGCAGAGTTTGACACCTTTTTGCTGAAGAGTTTCTGAAAAAACCTCTTAGGTCTGGATAGAATACTCTTTCCAGATTTAAGGGATTTCGAAGAAGTATCGGTAGTTAATGAAGTGCGATCCTTCTCTGCCTCGGCGATCCGAGTCTCCAGAACGGCCAAGTCACACTTCAAGGTGGAGAATTCATGGTGCAGAGCTCCCCAGCCTTGACCGCCAGCAGACGGGGCGGACGGAATCATATCAGTGCGCATATCAAAGAGGCTCTGGTCGTCGCTAGATTCTTCAGCCAACAGTGCACGGATGTTGCTTGTTATGTCCCCGACGAGTAGTCTTCCAGATGCTGCTGCTGTCCGGACTTGCTCATGCATTAACACCTGCAGGGATCACCAAAGATCTCATCAATTTGGAGCCACTTATTTTACCGTAATTGAACATAAATACCGAAGGATTTCGAATGAAAGGAATAGCGAATCATTTCAGTTTACATCCTGTCGCATATCATGGCAAACAAGCCAGTACAGTCTAACGTCAACATGAAGAGATTGACTGTGTATGTACCTGTACAACAGTTCGAAGAGGCAATCGCTCATTTTGTATGGCATGCATTGATGCATCTATCGACAACTTTCTGCAATCCATCAGTGTGCAGATCCTTTTCTTTTCACGCTTCGTCAGCTCCGGATGTTCCTGACAAAAAGTTCACTCAGGCAATGAGTTTGCATGAGGACAAGGAGAATATGTTAAAAGGAAGAACAAAATCAAACTTGAGTCTCCAGGTAGGGTCTAACTTCGCACCTCCGCCCATTTTCAATGTTAAAACTCTCAAGCTTGGCTCTAGCAGGTAAGCAAGAGAAAGAAATGTGAACGTATCCAAATCAAACTACGGCATTCAGGTCAGAATTCAACCAACCTTCAGATACATGTCGATGGCTCGATACAACCCATCGTGAAAAGGGCGTGCACAATCAGGAACAAACTCTGCAGCTCGCATGAATTTCTCAAGAGACAGGCTTGGGTCTCTCGAGATTTCGGCCAAATAACCGTCTATCAGCTTAGCTACTTTAAACATGGAGTTGTGGGCCGAAGCTGTATAGTCCCGTCTTTCTATGAGGTCAAAGTTCTCCGCAGACCGTGTCCTTCGGATCTCATACGCCTTCCCACTCTCCGGGGAGGACGTAGGATTTTGGCTTTCCAAGAGGCAGTACTCGACAATGCGCATCACTACGTCGATATCATACATCGACCCATTTGCATACGACAGAGATGGTATCAACAAATCACGCAGCGTAGCTTCCTCCAGTTGCGACCCAATCCGCCTTGCCAATTCCATCCTCAAACCTGTCGAAGCGTTTAGAATCGTGCTCGCTTTGAGCAACTTTAGCAGGAAACTGCAAGAGCAGGAGCCTTTCTCAGTTGGAAGCAGGCCGACAATGGTTTCCAGCACTTGCTTATGCTTCGATGCTTCTTCTACATCGTCTGTGAAGTATGTACTGATCATCCGCGTGTTGTCGAACAGAGCTTGATCGTCAGATATCCCTGGTAGCCAACGCAGCGCATACACTCTGAGAGCCTCTCCCACCAGCTCCCTCGCCACTCCCTTCGCTTTCACTGCCACCATGACTCTACAGAACACGTCTATGTCCAGATCGCATAAGTCCTCCACCCACCAATCCTTCGGCACTGGGGACTGCCATGGGGATGAACTAGCCCCGTTCCAAATGGCTGGACTTTTATGTTGGCTAATTGACACATGGTCAACTGCCGAAGAGTCTCTTGTATACGAGAATGACCAATCCACTTTAGCAGGATCGACCATCACCTTTGAGCTGATTGATTCTATGCATCGACTGATTATCTGGAGACACCCACTGGCAAAGCATGAGACCAAACCAAGAGGCAACAAAGTGTACAGAAAAAAACCAGGAGCGAGTCTCGGAACACTCGCTGATGACCAGAACGAGAATAAAAGGGCCACTGCTATTCACGAACACGGTCGGAAATGGAAACTGCGACTTACTTTCAAATCTTCAGCCCAAGGCTGATGGTCTTTACAATTCTGAATGCAGATGATCGAGTCTTTCCACCCCCGGTAGATAGATGTGTTTAAGAAAACTTCCAGCTTGTGAATGAGGTTGCTCTGCTCAACGCTTTCCGTCATCTTCAGAAACTCTGCTCCACATCGGACCGCGCTTACATTGTGTGCGTTTATAGTCACAGCAACGCCATAGCAGAATTTTGCACAAATTTCGAAGCACTCAGCTCCTCCAGGAAAGTCGTTGATCTCGACGTCGTCTTCGCCGGCTTCAAGTGCCTCACTGATAATTTTGTGCAGAGCTCCACACTTCGCCAAAAGCGGAAACTGTCGAGCCAAAATCCGTCGTCAGTTCATTGGGTCGATTGCTCACTGCATCCCTTTAATAGGATTTGAAACCTCTAAACAACTGAAAGCATGAAATGGGGTATAGGATTAACGTGTATCTTATTAACATGATCTTCGCTTGCAAAGGTGCATTCTCATGCGCACACACTAATATCTTCCTCCAGCAGAACTCAAGTGATTATTAACTTCCAGATTTCTGCTTACCAAGTGAAGGTGGAATTTGTGTCCATCTACATCCATGATAATATCGCTTACAAGGTCGGATTTCACCGTCCTGGATTTCGACAATAACCACCAACTTCCTCAGTGAGAACCGATTCAACACGATATGGATGGCAATCCTAAAGCGACACTTCTTATTGTCCTCTTCACGGCCACTTCATTCACCTCAGAAGAACGTCTAACTCGAGCAGCAGATGGTTTAAAATTTGGGGAGGTATGACACATCCATTTTCCAGGATGACAAGATAATCGAAATTGTGATTATATCGTGATATAAAAATGCAACTACGAGAGATTTCCTGTCATCCAAATGCTGCGGTTTGACTATCCAAAGCACTTCAGTTTTCAACATGTTTCCTTTCTTCATACGCACAAATAAAAAAATGCGCAGACAGTGTCGTCAAATTTGGATCCGACAGAAATGGGATTGAACAAAGTGCACCAATAATTCAAGGGGGAGAGGCTTACGTGTGATTGCCACGAGTAGTGAAGCAGTCAGGCTTCGATCCCAACCTCATGAACTTCATCGTGTCGAGCTCCGTTAAAGCAACACTCCTTCACTCTGCAAATTTTAATCAATCCCTCGAATTGAAACTGTGGAGCATTCACGCACACCCCAGTTCGCCCTGTCCCAAACCCTCTTTTTATCTCTCATTCATGGCATGAACTGAGCTGATCCACCTGCGCAACATCCCATGTACCTGTTTTACAAAACATAATGTCTCTCTTTCCTCGCAAAGCAACCCTTTAGGTAGTCACCGCCGCAGCCGACAGGTAAAAAGAATCACTCCTCCTGGTTGCTTCGAGACTACATTCTCAATTCCCGTATAAAAAGCAAGCTGCTGCAAGAGTGGCTTGTACAAGTGTACTGTAATTAAAATCTTCAATGACAAGGCTGTCCTGACCTCGTTGAAGTCCGGGCTCGCTCCTTTGATTCGAGGATGAATACACCCATAGTTTGTTTGTCTAGAATACAGATTGTTTTTTTGTCAGAAGCTGAAATGCGCATCCGAGCGGTAATTAGTTACCTCCCCAGCAACTCGCGCCCAATCCACATGGTACAGCACCTAAGAAAAGTAGCTATGTACCAGTCGACAGGCTCGCCACCCAAGATTCACACAGTCACCATGTCTCGCAAGGACGGAGCTCGGAACCTACAGAACCAATCGCGACATGTGCAGGGGCTCACTAATCTCTCATATAATAATTGAACAACCCCCATAGCCGAAAACAATAGATTCACGGTTTCAGACAGGAGCTTTAGGCCACAGTCCACCTTATTCTTTTTCTTCTTTAAACAAATTTCGATCCTTAACCTTGTTTGCAAATTAGAGTATAACTTCAGGATTCTGCAAAAGTTAATACTTTCGAATGAATACAAAAAGGTGTCTGAGCTCGAAAGGGACTATTTGCAAGCAATTCAACATGGAATGTACCGCGCGGGTGTCAGAAATGGAGTGACATGAGAAGCGACTCTTCAGGCGTGCCGGTCGATCAGGTACAAGCCATCGAAAGCTAAAGAATGGAGACAGAAGTGAAATCCACACAAAAGCACCAGAGGAGAGGTGTACGCGGAGTGCTATACTGAGCGGTGGCCGTAGAGTGTTGTGGAGGCTTTAGTGTAACTTTGGAAGCCAGAGCCAGCTCATGCACGCACCTTACCGACTTGGAGAGGAAGGCCTTGAAACCTGCAAGGAGTGGGAGCAGACCTTGTGCAGCGCTGGTTACGCAAAGCAGTGCGAGTGACAGCAGGGCGATATCGTCAGGGATGTGCTGGCTCGTCTTGCAAGAATCTCAACTGTACCTGCAAAAACAAACCCTCTAGACTCTATTATCCCCCACTTGGATATTATAACCTTTCTCCCAACCGCACTTCTAACCAGTTTTACGTCTACTCTCACTAACTTCAACATAGATTCATCAGCTTCAATTTCTCACTTCGCCTTATGGTTCGCACCACTGTTACCCAGCGAGGAATCCCCTTCTGTGTCTTCGCCCTGTTATAAGGTTGTCACCAATTCTCAGCTCTTCAGGCTGGGATCCACATGCCTTCACGCATTAAAAAAAACGAACACAATCCAGTTACACGCCCCCCACAAATCCCCACAAATTTCACTGCGCCTCTTCCTCCCAGAGTACCCCTCAACCTCTTCCACTAGAATCTAGACTTCAATCGATGAAATGCTGTGTAGTTGCGATCTTTTCCAACACATCTTCTGCACTCAGAGTTCATGTCCTTCCCACCATGAACCTCATGCAGCGGCTTGACCCTTGTCTGATCATTCTCATCGAAGTGGCGTTTACACAACCTATAGATAACTTTCACAGCTACCACGAGAAGCAAAACGGTGTCTTTACTAGTGATTCTTCGTGGTCACCGTGGTCTACCAGATACCGCACTTTGCGAGGAATTGGAAACTTCCTGGAGTCAACTGCGAGAATAGGAAGCGAGGTGGATCCCGAGACTGCCACATCTTGGAACCTTGTAGTCGTTGTGGATCTTCAGTATCCACAGATCCTTTTACGTGAGGGAGTGTCGTGGCAGTGGCGGCGGCTCACATGAACGCAAAAAGCAGACCTGGGAGACCGCAATCCAGTTTAGTAACAGACCCACCTGCTTGCACAGCACAGGCCGCACAAAATTTGTTACCCCCTGCAAGTCAAGCTTCCACATCGGACAACAAATTCCCCTTTGCTACACGTGAATTCAGCTTGAGGTTGCGCATTGCTGCCGCTTGTCCCACTCCGAAGGCTCCACAAGGGAACAAATTATTCCAAGTAAGGGTGCAGTTTCCCAGGTTCCACACGGAACTGCGAAAAAACTCTGCTGGACTTTGTGATAAAACTCGAACAAATGAACATAATCATCAACATATCATTTAGTAGTTCATTCCAACGACACATTCTGAAAATAACAACGCTCAAGATAGTAAAAATAGTAATTTGAATGACAATGTCAATCATTTACTTAACATAGATTTAATTCGTTTGTACTACTTGTCTTTTCCTATATAATACTTGTGTGTTGAATACCAAAATCTTTATTTATTCTATCTGTTGTAGATGTGTAGTTAAAAAAAATACATAAAAGACAATTTGGCCTATTTATAACACATCATATGTAATTAAAGATCATACAGTAATATATAATGATCAAATTATAGTGATATCAAAAATATATTATTAAAATTCTAATCGGTTATAATTTTGTATGGATTTGGTTGATACATTAATAAAAACATTTAAATCCTATACATGTATATGCAAATAAATCTGTATATATATATATATTACAATAAATTATTTGCAAACAAGAATATGTTATCATAACAATAATAACAATAAATAATAATATATGTATGCTTTCATACAATAATAGTTTGCAAGCATATATTCTAGTAATCAATGTCAAGCAAATTTATTGATTATTATGGTTTATTAGTGTGATAGGTGGCATGTACAATATAATTATGGTGAATTGAATTGTAGAGTGTAGTGGTTACCTTGATGCTCTCCAACACACTTGTTAATTGGGTGTTGATTTACACAGTGTAGAGTACTCTCCTTTTAAAGTTAGTTAAAAAAACGTATACCACGTCACAGCTCAACTCGTCTGAGTTGGCCGTCTTCTTTTGTGGTATTGTACATTATCAGCATGGCTGTTCAGGAATGTGGATATTGAGATGGGTGACACCTGTGACCAACTTGCTTTCGTATCACACTCTCTTTGTAACTATTATCTGTAGTGAGGCAAATTCGAATAATAGCAAAAATTAGTAATGACAAAAGCGAAGTTTTGAGGATGGGAAAGGGGAACTCCACACAGGAGTAAGCAGATGAATAATAACAATAATAATTTTTAAGAGGAGCGATGGAGCACATGTGATCAAGCTCCGGAGCTTCATTTACAACATCTGCTCCGGGATGTGCTTGATGTGCCTAGGATCACAATTTTACGGTCTACACTAGGCTATATAGGTGGACAACACTTTCCGCAACTCTTACTGATTTTCAATGATTTAGAAATTTGTAGGTAGTCTTTTAGTAGATGCGAGGTTTCTGAGCGACATATCCCGCTGAGTGTGGAACTCATTCAAAGAATCACTCTGCTTGCAAGTCATTTCCACTGATGTACAAAGGAAAATTCGGCGTCTGGACGGCCACGATAATGCTAATGGCAGGTTAACTTTTTTTCTCCTGGTCTACACACAAGGTACGAAAACAAGAAGTGTACAAACTCAAGAAGCACCTTCTAAATCATATAAAAACCCTATAGACTCTCACTCGTGTGGTACAAGGAGTTGAACACCGGTTTTCGTGTCTTGGTAGAATACCACACAGTCGTTCCAGTACAACCGAAGAGGAGGAGGGGGGGGGGGGGCACTAGAATAGCACTCCTACGCCAGTACTTTTCCTATGTCTGTTGTGCTCTCGCCATCAATGCGCCGTGCGAAGGATGTAAGAACCTGAAGAAAACGCCATTTTAGCATGTAACACAAAGCCTCTCTCTCTGTCATGCGAGTAAAAACTTGCCAAGTTAAGCAATTGCGGTTTCGAAAAATGTGTACTTTAACTAGGGATTTGTACCACACGGAGCGAAGAGCTTAGAAATCTTAAAGCTGTGAACTTTACCTTGACCACTCTATTCGCTTCGAGCTAAAAAACTTGCTTCATATACCTGTTTGATTAGTTACACCCTTTCTACTTACTAAATCATAGAGACGCAAAATACTTGTGTTCGCGACTTACGTTACACACGAATGAGATGTTACGAATGCCTTGACAAAACTAAAAGTCTGACGTCTAGTTGTGAAACTGAAATAAGGCTTAAGTCTAATTTGGAGCCTCTGAATCTACTCGTAACCTCATGCATTAATTGTGATTTGAGGGGAGCTACTTCCACCGTTCTAATTTAATTAACTTGCATACAATGTTACGTCTGACTTGAACCTCTGGGCATAAGGAATTCTTAACATTACAGAACAATAAAGGAGTGAGTTAGGAGATGCACCTTGGTGACCAAATGAGAGATGATGCCAATAGGGCACATCATGAGGCAAAATACAAGTGAATGACGAGTCTCTACTTTGTGCTGAAGTCCATCCAGATACACGTACCTACACAAAATCAATATATAATCTTCACTACCAGCACTAAGCGGGACTGACCTTGCTTGCGAATCCGACAAGGACCTCATGGGAATAATAATCAAAGGAACAAGTAAATAAATATACGTCACTTACCGGCCGCAAAAGAGGTCAGCTACAAGCAAATGGATCCATGCTGAAGCGACCGTGATAGTGCTTGAAAACATGCGAGTAATGCCCGGAAGCTACTTTCACGTGTCAATTCATGGAGTTAGTAACCAGGCTACAACAAAAATACGAAAACCCTGACAAAAAGAAAAGAATCAAGGTTATAAAACATGTGCTAATACTGTAATAACAAGTCAAATTCACTAGCAGAACAGGTGATTTACCTCTGGGAGCCAATATTTGCTTGCAAACATAAGGCCCAAAGTTTCTGGTGTCCATGAAAGGAAAAGAAGGTAGACGTACATCGCGCCCAACACGATAAATGGTATATCGTTTTCCACGAGCTTCTTAGTCTGTTTCGAAAACCGTACAAATGATCAGGTAAGGGAATTGTAGGCCGCACCCACCTACATATAATACTACAGGAAATCATCTCTCAAAAGAGGAAAGCTCGAAGTTAGAGAAAGTACCCATTTCCACTTCGGGGCAAAAACCATAGCTGTGTAGAATGGTACAACGAACGCCGTGCCAAGAGTGAACATCGAGGTCGCCACTTGCACAGTACTGCTGGGAGACACTTGATATCATCACAGACAAGTGTCAAATTACTAAAACCATGATCCAATTTTGCGGATAATATGTTCTTCACACTTGAAGCATCGGATGCAATCACAGGTGGAACAAGCAAATTGAAGAGACGAATAACGGAACCTCGAATTCCGAATTGGCATCCAGGACTGATTTTCTTGACGCCAATGTGCCACAACCTTGCCTGGTGAGTATATGTAGAGATGTTTTAAAAGTTGGTCTAGATGCATTCCAGATTTCTGAGCAATTTAACATGCTTATTCTAAAATACTAATTGGCCTGAAAGAGGGAATCTACATATTACTTACGTGAACAAGTCAACAGGTTGGAATGTTTCTCTCTGAGAATCGGCCGAGGGACTGTCTCTGCTTTCGGCAATTGAGGTGCTCGCAGACCTCCCTCCCCCAATCTCCTCACACCAGATAATTGAGATACACCAATAGTTTGCTTACTACTTGAAATGTTTCCAGTTCTTCTAACAGTAATTGACGATATGAACTTGATCGGGTCAAATCCGCCATTACCCCCATGAGATATCAAATTTGATGCGTTCGATCGGATTTTTAAAACCTGCAGGCACCGCAGCACGTGCATAGACGCTCTCATATTGCCCCCAAGGATGCGAACCATTCCAATTTCTATCTAACTGTAACTGGCTTAGCTGAAAATTAACGGAAATTGTTTTAAGGACCGGACACAATCTTAAGCACGATAGAGCGGAGTGGAATTCCACCTGGAGGGGTTCACAAGCAGCGAGCCTCATCGCAGCGCGTGAATGTGCCATCGCTCCAACTTTCTGCGGCTCCATAACATACAGTTTACGAATTAGTCACTAAAAACTCTAAACCTAGCAAAGACAGCGCTACTCACTAGAGAATCCAGAGTGCGAGAGCTCGTCAAACACGACCAGGATCACTACCCACCACGAGGATGAGAACATAAAATCTCAACAGCAATGCAACAGACAAACTCTCATGATCACCCCTGACATCCAGAATGAGGACTGCTGGCATTACCGCCCAATTCACAGGATTCTTCCTCGATTTCACTACAGCACAAAGTCGACGAACAAACACCGCCAAGGTATTACAACCGCGTCGTGAATGGGAAGGGACCGTTCCTTACAATGTACTCCCAGAGACAAAAAAAAAAAAAAAAAAAAAAAAAAAAACCATTCACGACGCGGTTGTAATGCAACCCATACAGAACGCAGAAACGAGAATGACGCCTGAATCCAACAACCCTCACCTTGAATCCAAAACACAGCATGGAACTCCTCACGTTGCACAAGCGCCACAAACACACTCAACCCCTCACAAGACAGCGTCCATTTCAGCTTTGGGATACGCGACGCCAATTCCCAGAAACTAAACACCTCGTCAACATCCCCTAGAGATGTAACCAACGATGTGGCTGTCAAAGAACCAGCCACCCACTTTTCCACGGCATGGAAACTCCTAAACTGGGGAGGAGTTGCCGAAGCCCACTACACACAAAACCCACACAAGTGCTGATCTAGCTATCAGAAAGCATCTGCCAAAACAGACAGTTTTAGGGGATGAAATTGCTAAACCCTATCAGAGAGACCCACCCAGTTGGGCAAATTGAGAGCAACAACAACAGCAAAGAAGCGCAAAGTTTTCGTGAGGTGAGATTTGGAATGCCAACACACAATCAATTGTTGGGGATGATGCCTTATCCAGCATCGGCAGGTTACCGGATTTCATTGCGCCCCTCTGGTTCCCGTGCAATGTAGGTTCTCAAATCACATCCCAGTGCGACCTTCCCATGCTGATAACGCCGCGATCTCGTTGTTGCTGTTGTTCTTTGTGCTTTTCTTCACCCTGAGCTCCAGATCTCCACAATTCGGTGTGGTTTTCATGGCCATTCCAAGCTCCCACGCACTTCGTGTGTTTGTGAATTCTTGTTTTGTTATTGTTGTTTTCTGTTTTTTAATTAACGCTGATAGAGTGAACTTTCATTGATAAATGAAGATATTCTAGAGATGTCTACCTAATCTGTTGAAATAATTAGCTACTTCTTTTCTTGTGTGGTAGAAATGTTTTTGGGATAGGAGAGATGCTTGTGAAGCTAGTATTTTATCTATTTGGTAAAGAGATCATTTTTATATCATGTGTTTTGAAAGTTTTTGCATAGCTTGGTGTATTTTGTAGCTTTTATTTAGGTGATTTTATTTATTTATTTATATTTTATAAATGTATTCTACATAATTTGGTTGAAAATCAAATTAATCTTTCAAAATGCTTGTTGTTGTATTTGATTTAGAGGTTTTGCATGATTGCTTTACAAAATAATAGTCACAACTTGTTGACAAAAGAAATATTATGTGGTGCTTTTATGTGGGACAAAGGAAGTTGCAAAATAGTAGTTTACTTTGTACCAAAATGACTAGTTTTATATGTTGGTGTGCTAAGTCTTTGATTTTTGTGTGGATGAGTAATTCCAAAATTGATAAATAATGATGTCTTTCTCATCTACATTACAAGTTGTATACAATTTAAACTAATTTTTTTCATTAATAGATGCATCATGTAGTATCACATCTATCTACATATTGACCACTAGAAACTTATGCCAAGTATGCCATAGATTTATTTATTTATTTTATACTTTCTCTTACAACTTCAAATTTTAGAAGCAATCACAAGAAAAATATCAGACTATTCTTTTCTACCATGCAAAAATAATATAGTTCTCTATGCCATTGTCATGCAATTTTATATTAAAGCATATTTTTTAAATTTTAATATCTTGTAAAGAAAAATAAAGAATTAGCGTGGATTCTTTTAGCTACTGTTGTAAAGCCAAAATTATCCTCATCAATTTTATACAAGAGATAGAAGTTGGACAAGACAAATTTTTATAATCTTTAAATATATTACTTTTTATTCATACCACTACTACAACTTGTATATCAATATAATTAATGTCATATTTTCTTTGATGCTAACACCACTAAAGTTATTCTACTATTACACAATTGTCCTATATGTCTTTAGATGATGCTAAATAGTTGATAGTAATTGTTTTGATTTTGTTGACATCTTTTTTGATTGTTTCTTTAAATTTTAAAAAATATAATACAAAGCTTAAAGTAAGAAGAAATAAACTATTTCTTGTCTTTCAATAGTAATGATCTTTTTGTTGCATCAATAAGATAATTTTTATAAATTTTTTTAATAATAATTAAAAAAAATCACGTCTTTAATAGTAAATAAATAGTAAAAGATCTTTCAAAAACTTTTCGAAATGTTAAAAAAATCCTTTATTTTATGTTATGTATTCTTTTATCTAATTTTGTGTAATTTCTAGTGTGTTATTTAATAGCTATTAGATTTTGTGCATTTAATAACCATGTAAAAGACATAACTTGAATTTTCTAAAATATAGAGAATATAATATACCAATTCATTTATAGTAATAACACAAGTAATTTGTTGTTAGTATATTTTATAATAATTTTTTTTATTCTTTATATTGATAGGATAACTTATTTATAAATTTTAAATTCTACCTCATTTATAACAACTGCATTACAAAATTTAACAATAATAAAAAGGATGTATAAGACAAGAAAATAATTTTGCTATACCTCCCTTTTAATTGGAAACAAAACAAATGGTACATTTATATTATCAATACATTAAAATAAAAATAAAAATAAAAATAAAGATAATTTTTAAAATAAAATTCATTGTGTACGTTGAAATGAATACAAGTTTATGTTCTATAATGACCTAGGCTTTTGTGAAGTAAAGCTTCAAGAAGATAAAAGATTGTTTTAATTAATTTTCTTGCATAAGATTTGTTTGAATTAGTATGAGATTATTAAATGTAAATAACCAGAGAAAAAATTTAGATTGGTCTATATTGATTATTTTTATTAGAACTTGTAATTATTAAATTTATGATGTTTTTTCAAAATTAAAAAATTAAAAAAAAATGATAAAGAGCAATAGCAGCCTGTAATTGGCAATAATACACTAAGAACGTTCATGTGAAATAAAACCAATTTATTATTTTTATTATTCCTTCCGAGAGCTTAATTTTTATTTTACCAATATCATAATTTTCATTGAAAATTTTGATTTTATAGAGATCTTATAAGATCTTGTAATTTTTTCGAATTATTCTAATAATTTTGGGTGCATTGTAAGGTCACACTTAAAATATTTTAAATTAATTTATTTTATTCTATTATTATCAAATAATATGAATAGTATTAAGTCATTTTTAAAGCTATTAAAAATATAACTTAATAGTTTTTATTATACTAAACTTGTCTTTATTATAAAAAAAAAAAAAAAAAAAAAAAAAAATGTTATTTTAAAGTTCTTGGTATCAGGAGCTATAAACGGGTTTAACAGAAAATTAATTGGAATAAAATTACTTCCCTTTGTTAGCTAGTTGTATCATATTCATCATAATTGATTTGGACTTTTATGCTTTGGAGAACTCTTTTAAATTTTTTTTTTCAATTTTTTTTTTGATGAAATTAGTTATATATATATATATATATATATTTTCTACCTTGGTCAATTAGAATTCTTGAAGTGCATTGGCAAGTATTGATACTTGAGCTTTAAAAACAAATCTAATTTTTATATTATTATTATTATTATTATTATTTTATCAGGAAACTAATATAAGTTTTTAAAAATAGTTATTATATTTTTAAGGTAAAAATTATATGTAGAAATTAATTTACAATTATAGCATAATATAAATGCTTCTTTTTTTAATCAAAAATTCTTTGGTGGTATATTTTCCCATAGCATCTTGAAGAATTTGACTATTTTTCATATATTATAATTTGTATATTTTAATTGACATTGTGTCACCTTTTTATCTGTATATTATTTAAATTACATAGTAGCTAATGTGATAGATATGACTTGAGATTTTATAAATCATAAGTTTTTCTTCTTCTACCAATGTGTAATATATAAATCTTATACAAATAGAATAATATCCTTACTTTAGATTTTTTAATAATATTATATATGTATTTATTATTATTTATTTTCACAAAGGAATTAAAAACTTTCAGAGTATCAATTAGAATTGTCAACTCTCTTCTTTCTTCTATTATAGGTAAGGACTTATTTAAACTCTTTATGTCAAATGGTTGTTAAAAAAAACTCCTCTACATTTTCACCTTCAACTTCAACTTGAAAGAATGCTCTTAAAAACTTCACAATAATTTTGTAATTTTTTTATAAATTTAGTCTATTCTAGTACGTTTTGTGAGCTGACTAATTACTTCAATTTTGATATTTTAGAAAAATTCAGGTTGAGTTTTATCTTCAAGAAGATACTTTGCATTGAAGATAGACTTTAAAATGTTAAAAGTTAAAATTATATTAATCCTCACTCATTTTTGAATCTAAAAAGGCATAACTTTTTTTTTTTTTTTTTGATAATTTCTATAAATTCCTATTTCTTCAAAAATTGCATATTTTAGTAATCAATTATGTGGTATAACAAGAGATATGGCATACCACAAAATAAGAGATAAGATAATGGTCCCCATTTTTTTAAAAAATAGGCTTCTTTACAACCATAGCAGATAATTGATTTTCAATTTTGATTGTATAATTTTGGGATAATAGCCTAAATTTTTTTCCACAAATATTACGGCATACTCAGTTAAAAAATGTATCTATAAAAATTTATTTGTTTGTTTTTATAAATTTCATTTTTTTATTTTTTATTTTTTATTTTAAAATTATTAAATAAAAATATTCTATTATTATAGTATGATTTTTTAAGAATTTCTATTTTAAGCTTGTTTTGATAAAATGGATGTGTAACAACTCTAACTAATTTAACAATATTTTTATATAAAATATATATTGCCATGGCATATTATAATATTTTTACTTATTTTTTTAAGTCTGAAAGAGATTGACAACCTTATATACTTGCAATATTATGCATGTATTTTTTACCATTATTTCTGTGCAATAATACTTAATTGGCGTTTCTAATGTAATTTTATTATTATTTTGTCCTTTTGCATGGTTTTATGTATACTATGTGTACTACAACAATTCTCAATGGTCTTATTTTTGCTTTGCTATTACTTCTACTTTCTAGTTAGGATATAAGACATTTTTGATACTTTAAATATAAATAATATTTAAAATTAATTATAATGTTTTGGAGGCTCAAGATGTAATTTATTGCATGCACTAATAATTTATATTTTACACTACTACTTGTAGGAGTCTAATATTGAGCTTGTTTTAAAAAAAAACTAACAATTGTAAAAACATTAACTATATAGCAATGTATTTTTTATTATATATATATATATATATATATATAAATATAACTTACATAAATAAATATTGTTTTATCCATATTTTTGATAATATTTTTATTTGTTTAATTATGATTACTATGTTGTTGGTATGTTGGTGGTGTTTATAATTTAATATCATATGGAAGATGCATTATATTGCAATATTATGTTTAGTTTTTGATTGAGGCTCATTTAAAAAAACGTAATAAATTTATTATATTGACATTTAACTTGGTTAATATACATAACCATTAGAGATTCTAAAGAAGATCCTTTAGCTTGTACAAAATATGACAATTTTTTAAAATTTTATTTCTAAAAATGTTTATATTGTGATGTTATGATACAAAATGTTAATTTTTACATTTTGATATTGACACAATACAAATTCTCCTACTCACAGAAAATATATATATATTGAAAATAATGGTTTTGAAAAAAATATAGAACCAGTTTGTGAAAATCTTATGTTTCAATTTTTATAACTAAGTCCTTATTTGTTTGGTTTTATTATTGTGTCTTTAATAAACTAATATAAATCCAATAAAAAATAGAAAAGACAATAAAATATATGTAGTACGCTTTGCAAAGTCTTCAAAATATTCATTATACTTTGTGATCCAGTTAGAAGAGCCAATAATAAATAGGAAAATAAGATAACAAAGGGATGCGATCCTACAACAAAACAAGCAATAACCACATAGCTTGCTAGAAATTTCATTATTAATCTAACCAAGAAATCCTTTAGAAGAACCTTGCTAAGTGCACCTTTGATAAGATGAGAACCTTCCACCTTCTTGTGAACATCAAAAAGCCTCCACAATCTCGTGGTATTTGTTGTTGTTGTTGTTGTTGTAATGCCCCCTCCATTGAACAAAAATGTGCTTCTCTTCAACATTCTCTTGTGTTACCTACATGTGGGGTCAGGACTTTGTGCCGACCCTGTATGTGTATGTTGTTACACTTGAAACCCCGATGCATTCTTAAAATTTATAGACAATTTGAGAGATGAAGTGGATGCACCCCATAATTCTGGCTACTGTGCATATGCAACAAAAACCTTTTAAACTAACAAGGTTGGTGTCACAGTATTTGTGGGAATTCATTTCATCTTGGCGAACATAAATGTCCAACAAGACCCTGCATCAAAAAAAACAAAAAAAAAAAAAAAAAAAAAAAAAAAGAAAAGAAAAGAAAAGAAAAAAACAACAACAACAACAAAAACAAATGAATAAATAAACAGATCAGTATGTCTACTCCTTCCTTCCTTATTGTAAAACACATTTCATAATATATATATAGATATAGATATATATATATATATATATAGATATATAAAACAATTTGAGTTCTCAAATATGGTAGAGCACAAATCAATTGATACACGCAACTGTTTGGTTTTGGATCTTTTGAGGGATTGGATCCCTCTGATTGGATGCAGAGTTGTGTGTGTGTGGGGGGGGGTCCAACTAGGACGCCAGAGGGGTACCAGACCCGTCAATTACAATCCTAGTTGGCAATGCCGTACAGAAGGAGAGAAAGACTGCTCCCCCTCCGGAAGCCTCTGGTGGGCTCTGCCACGTCGTCAGGTCCTGTCCATGACGTGACAGTCCCCTCGAATCCTGACCTTACCATTAGTATTATAATCAAATTAAATTTCAACTTTTGTTTTACGTAGTCAAAGTGGTGTTTTTTCACTTGATAATACATTCAACAAACAATTCTTTGAAAATGATTTGTTTCTACTTTTTGCAAGAGAGCATGACCACATATTTGTTTGTTTATTAGTTTGTTTGTTTTTTTCTCATGACTCTTTTAGTTGGTCAAAAGTTGACAGTTCCTTGTTTTTTAAATGAATTGATGTGCACACAGTGGCCATTGAAATTTTAATTTGGGAAACTACATGGCAAGAATAATTAGATAAATAACATTTATTAGTTGGAACAGAAACTTAAGAAGTTTTTCATGCAAGAAAAAGGTTTCACGTCGATACAGTTATAATGAATATTAGTATCATAGACATATGTGCACACAAAAGCATTTTTTCACATACAAAAAATTTCATCTTATTATACAATTTGTTTTTTACCTCAAAAATTGAACATATCTGGGTCATGAACTTTTTGTGTGTGTTTTATTGCATACTACCAAACCTAACCCACTGATCCTAGATTTTTGTGGTATATGGATTGTAATAGTTTATAAGACTTTACATTTTATGCTTCACAAATATCAAAACACATACCAAATAATGTTAAAGATAGTAAAGACAAAAGTGGTCTGCATCTAATTGCATAATATGGTGATATATGTATATATATTAAACCAACAATAAATTATTTTTAAATAATTTATTTCTGGTAGTTAAATGTTGGAACCCACAAAAGAAATCATACTTCTATGGTAACAGTTTCTTAATATTAAATCATACTTTGATTTTGTAAAATGTTACCAATGACTTTTCAAATTTTACTCATAATCTCATTAATTATTGAGGGTACATCGTTGAAAAATATATCATTAGTTTGTTTTTTAATCTTAAAATAAACATGTTGTAAGCATACCTAATTTATAAATTACCATTTAAAAACATAAAAAATACAAATTATTTTATTGATATGCTTTTGATATGGATGACATTTTATAGTATTTTAAAAATCCACACGAAATTATTACCCTCACTGTTTATTTTTTGTGTTTGAATTTTAGTTTTTTAAAAAATGATTTGATATTAATGACATAAAAAAAATAAAAAATCAAGAATAGACACAATAGTACAATAATACAGAATCAGGTACACATAAAAGCACAAAGTCACAAGAGCTATACCATTCTAAACAAACACTGACAAAATTAAAGGTGGATTTACTCTCACTTCCATGTACATCATCCACCTAAAAAAGAATACTAAGAAAAAAAAATTTACAAAATATGACCTTCTACAACAGAAAGAAAGAAAGAAAAGAAAAAAAAAAAAAAAAAAAAAAAGAAGAAGAAAAAACTCTCTACACAGCACTTTGAAAGAATATTTTAAACAATATCAAAACAATAAACATATTATGGTATTTTACAACATTCTTAATCCTTAATGCAATATTCTTAATTTAGGCTTCTATTTTAAGGAATCTCTTATATAAAACAGTACAAGGAGATAAACCATCTGGATAAACCAAAGGAAACAAAAACCATTCTAAATGGCAACATATTTCATCATTTTCATTAAATGTGAAGCAACTATTCAACTTTTGATCAATAAGACATCAAAAGCTGCATGCCATTGATAGAGATTGCCTAGAGTAGCAGCACTAGATCACTAAGAGTGAAGCTTGAAAGCACCACATTGTGGAACATCATGCAACATGGAGTTTCACCTCATGAGAAGCTTCAAACAAAAAATCAATATTTACATTGTTTTTTTTAGTAGCCAACTGCACGAGTTTCAAATAGTGGTATATAAGTGATGAGCATGAGGCACATGTTAATACGGGACATGTCGTGAAGCTCCGTTGCTCCAATAAGTACGAGCTTATCGATGGGATGAGCTATGGCGTGAGGCATTGCCAGCGGAGGATTTTGTTGATGTGCGGATGGGATATGGCGAAGCCCGTAGTTCATCAATCATTCTCCCACTCTCTTTCCCTGCACTTTGCAGATCAAATTATTACCGGCACCACGGCGGCGATCTATCATCCCGCTTCAATCAACAACCTTGACGCTACGCACCGATGCTGCGCAATTGTGAGGTGAACTTGTGAATCTTAACGCCTGTACATACAGTGAACGAGATCATTGTGGCATTGCGACGAGACGGTGTTATAGTGCGGAGAGAAGACAGTACTGTCGTTGCGTTGATGGATGTGGTGGGACCTCCCTACAGTTGTAGACGTAGTGAGGGATTTTGGCGACAACGATGTACTCATGGCTTTCGGATTTTGTTGCTTTGGTTTTGATAGTCTGGCTTCTTGTACAAGAGAACCCACGCAACTCATAATTGCGACCTTTGTCGCTAATGCTCGTGACGCGATAGGACCTGGCTATGGCGTCTTCTTGAATCTTTGAAATCTGCAAACCAGGCAAGGTGTATGAGGGATGTGTTTTGCACGCATGGCAGCTGAAGGTCTGCTCAGAAAGTTTGTCACGGAGTGTAGGTCCCTGCAGAAATGGCTTGAAGTGTAAGTGCCATTTCTGGCCAGGCTTTCGTTTGAAGGTACTCAAAGGGAGTAGGTGTAGGGGCGGTGTGTAAGAGTCTGAAAACAACATTTACTTGACAGAGGAAGCAACTTCGTCTTGTAGAGAATGTGTGGATGTTATGCGAGATAGAACCCCGCATCTCTCTCTTATATTTTTGTTTTTATTTTTCGTTTCGTGAATCAAAAGAAACGTAGTGGAATTATTGTCAGTTCCATTCCCTATCTGGAGTGTAATTTTGAGAGAGTCGCTCTCGGAGTTCTGAGATTCTTCAATATTATGTATTTTTTGGCGTGGATGACAGTTCCGATTGTGCTATTTTAAGAGCAGTTTAGGAGATGCTTCATTTTACTGCAGATCAGGAAGAAGTCATGACTGCAGTCGGTTTAGCCTTGGATCACAAGTCTAAACCTCGTCCGATTCACTCCTAGATCTTGTTTGTGGAGAGGAAGTTGAGAGCTGCGCATTCAGTATGCTTCAATGAACATGAAATTTTCTAGTGAAAGCTGAGAAGGCTCTTGAATAGGCGGAGAGGACTCTTCAAGTTTGCGGTCACAATGGCGGCCTTGTTCAATTGGATGCCGTGGCTCGCGTTGGGTGACGTTGCCAGCTTCGGTCAGCTTGCTGGCATAAATGCAGTGCAGCTAATTGCAATGATTGTGAAAGCCGCCAACAACGCACGTATGCACAAGAAGAACTGCCGACAATTCGCACAACACCTCAAATTGATTGCCAACTTGCTGGAGCAGCTCAACCTCACGGATCTTAAAGAGCGTCCCGAGTGCCGGGAGCCGCTGGAGCACCTAGAGCAAGCGCTGCGCAAGGCGGTCGTGCTTGTGGAAAGCTGCCGTGACAAAAGCTACTTGTATCTTGTGGCCATGGGGTGGATGTACGTCACCAAGTTTCGCGACTACCAGGACGAAATCGACAAATATCTCAAGCTCATTCCTCTCATCTCCCTCGTTGAAAATAGTCGGGTATGTCTATCTACCATTTCATCGTAGAGATTGACGTAGAAATTCGTCGGTGAAATGATCGACTGCGCTAGCAAGCGAAATGTTAAACATGAACACAGAATCATCTCCAAAATCTTCAGTGCCGAGGTTTCAGCTAAATTTTCATGCATGGAATCGTGGCAGATTCTTAGAATCAGGTCCTTTGCTTCACATTGATTTTTTGTAGCTAGTTTCAGTGAGTAATCTACACAATGTTTTATGTAAAATTGGCACCTGCTACGGCGAAAGAGAGAAGAGGACACAGAATCGTCTCAGACCACGTTACCGGTTTGTGCCGCCGTTTAGAATTCTACTTGTGAAATTTTGCCAAACACAAGCTTGCGTGGCAATTAAACATTCAGCTCATTATCTGGTTTCACTGACGTCAGTGCTCATTGATCAAGAACCAGTTTCTTAGAGTACATTGTGGTGTAGTTGTCTCGAACGGTTTGTCTCAATCTTTTATGCCAATAGATGTTTATGAGTTCCTCTAGTTGTTTTGTTGTCCTCAATAGACAATGTCTAATGGTGCAGGAACGTATCCGGGCAATTGTTAAAGATAAACGGTCGTACACGATGGAACGTTCAGATGTTAAGGTGCAAGAGACACTTTTGAAGCCCGAGCACACTCGGAGAGATTCCATGCGATTATCACGACAACTGTCACGCCGCTACCCTGGTATGCCCTTAGACATCGCTTTGCGGGAAGAAAATGCTAAGTTGCAGAAGGAGCTGGAACACATGAGGGTGAGTAACTTTTTGTACTCTGCAATTTTGACTCCACCTTTCTGATGTGATGGCCGATTATTTCGTATCCTTCTAGCCGTGCTTTTCTGGTTGAATAGAGCTAAAAACGAAAAAGAGCTTTTATCAAAATGACAGGCTCTGAACTTGGGTCCGAAACTTGATCCTAAGAATCTGGGAACTACTTTAAGTTCAGGGCCATGTCATTTTCAGCGTAAGATGATGGAAGGGAGTACTTCGGGACCGGCCCCTGCATGCATATTGCTGTGCAATATGATGATGCGTTGGTGTATTCTTTGTGCAGGCATGCATGGAGCTAGAAAAATGCGGCGTGATTGAGCACTTGATAGACTTCACAGAAGCTGCTGCAGCTGACCCGGTAATCCTTGCAGAGGCCATGGCCGAAATACCTGAAGAGGATAACGAGGAGGAAGAGAGACATCGGAAACCTCACACCAGGACCGAAGTGGTGGAGTCATCTAAGCGCCATATGAAACATCTAAAACCGTCGTTGTAAGTGCCGAGCTTGAATTCTAAATTGAATTCGCATCCTGCACCTTCATGTAACTTAGCTCTACACTTTCATTATCCTCACAAAAAGTTGTGCAATGCAGACATGAGGACAGTGAGGTAGACATGGATCTTTTGGAAATATACTGTAGTCTCATGGATTGAGGGATGCTTTACTGCAGGCAAGGCTTCCCTTCTGATTACCAGCAGATGATTGTGTGCGATGAAGTGGCTAGGAAAGATTTGCCCTGCAACAGCGTTTATAGCAACTATTATGTCAAAGACTGGCGCTATGACCTTTTCGACTGCTGCGTTGACCCCTGCTTGTGTGAGTTATCATGTGAAATTATCTACTATGCCTCGAATTTTAGTTAGAACATTCAACATGGATACGTGTACGTAAAGTGTATATCACAGTATCAGATAGAATTTCGTTTGGCTGTAGAGATAACGTGGAGCGCATCAAATCTAATAGTGACTTTTACTAATATACACACTCCGATTTCTTCCACCTTGTTGAGGTAGACTGTGGTTTGTATGGTTTGGAACAGGTATCGAAACTTTCTGCTATCCTTGCGGGACGTTTACTCTTGTTGCAAGTTCAGTTACAGATGGCGGCACTTGTACGTTGCTCTTTCGAACCTCTCGTCCTTTTGCTCAGGAAAAAGAATTGATGTGACTATAACGCAGGAAGTCAGTAGCATCTGAATATCACTATTTATTTATGTCCACTGTTGAGGTAAATACTGTGCTGCTGTTTCTGAAAAACCAGAGCAGAAGTTACTGCTCATTAACTTGGGATTGTATACAGCTGAAGACTCTGCATGCAGTCAACTGGCGTTTCACTCACTCTACGGTGGGTGCTGTTGTTACACTTCTTGCATACGAAGAAAGGTCCGTCGCCGATTCGATATCCCAGTAAGCCTCTTGAAAAACCTGGAGAAACTGATAGGATCCATGTACGTCTGAATGTCAACGAATTTGAACTGGATTAGAGAAAGTGCTACAGGGAATGCTTTCATGAAGTTATATACCAGGGTATGGTTGTGTAAATCCCTATTGCTAAATTCCTATCGTACAAATACTTATGAAGTGAATTTATGCAGGGTGATTGTTTTAGCGATTATTGGGCGCATGTCTGCTGCTGCTGTTGTGCTGTTTTACAAGAGCTCCATGAGCTTCGTTTCCGGGAGAAGCAAGGTAAGTATACCACCCAGTTCTTCTTGTACTCTCTTAGCGGAATGCAAAATGTATAGCTGCAGGTTGAACTTTCATTCCATGATATGTGAAACAGAAATAAAATGTGTTGAGATCATTGAGTCCTTCTGAGGAAATTCCTGACGACATTATTTCGTGTGTATTTTTTCTGCAGAAAGGACCATGAAAGAACCACCCTCAGAACAGGAGATGGAGGGTTATAGATAACTTTCGTGCTGCTCGTTAGAACTGCTGCCCATTAGGGAATATTCTTCAAGCTACGACTTCTCATTGCACCAAGAACAATGTCAATTGTAAAATCGAGAGGTGAAGCCATCCCACAACAATATTCATGTTTCTTCGACTAGGGTCCCATTATCGTCCAGGGAGAACCTAAGATCCAATCTTGCGGTGCTCAACAGTTTCTCTAAAATTTGCTTCTTACCATTGATATGAAAGGAAACAAGTACGAATTTGCTTTCATGACTAGTTGGCAGAGGAGCAACTATTTGGGGTAAACTATGAAAACCGTTCACCACAGTCCGGTTGGTTGCTCCGTTCATCTCAAATTCACCACATGACTATCGCAAATTCAATGATGGAAGGAATGAGATGGAGTTCGCAAGATCGCGGAGTTTTCATCATTCCTTTGTGCTGGCGATAAATCTGAGACTATACGAACTAATGTGTATTCTGTATCGACTCCGATAACCCAGAGATAGAACCTGCTTGCTAAACCAGACATGACCACTAATTCCATTAGAAAAGACACTCTTGCCTCTTGGATGCTCTCAACTGTGATTAACGCTGGTGACTCGCTTTGTTAAGTTGCTCTCTCCATGAGCACTCCGCGATCTTGCGGAGTTTAGCCTTCGATGCCAGATTACAGCTTACCATGATATACGACCATAGTTAGAGCTAGTTTGTGGTCACCTTGTCTCTGTATTTCGAATTCTACTGCGGATCTCTGCATACCTTTTTCAGTTCACTGGTGCATTGAGAGTGTGGAAGGATGGGGGAAAAATCTTCGTTGGAATATATTACGACGAGAAACATGTGGGGGAGGATTTCAAGTCTGAAGGCACTTGAACGCTATCTGATACCTGTCAGAAGTCCAGCCATGTTAACCTGTGTCAAGAGCTACTCAGTGATGTTCATGTTGTTTATGACTCTGTTTCAACAACCACCAAAAGTTTCAACCTGTAAGATAGTACATGCCAACTTTGTAAGAAGGTGATCAAAACGATGAACCATACTTTGTTTTAGGTTTGATTGTAATTTTTTATTCATTTTACTATAGTTAACGTGGATTGTGGATCAATTGCTGGTCGTTAGAACCTTATTAAATATTATGACCCTACTTTTATTCAAAATAGCACATTCTTGGCTCAAAGCTCATTGTAGAAGCTGTAGCTTTAAAATTTGATAGATTGTACATATATCATAAGAAATCAGAAACATTGTTGTTGCAATCAAAATATTTCATTCAAGTTTTCTAATAAATATTGCCTTTTATTTTTTTTTACGTCAAATTCTACAATTGATAAAATTAAAATTAATGTATTTTTCATCTATTTTTTATGCACTCAAAATGTATATTATTTTTGTTTTATCTTAAGTGATTTGCAAGAAGAGCTCAAATATCGTGTAATCTTTTATTATGTTTATCATATAGAATAACATTTAGCTAATTTTATGCAAAATAATTATTGAAACTTAAACCAAATAAATTTCATATATATATATATATATATATATATGCACACACAATTCTATATGTTAATTGTAAAATTTAGTTCAAATAAATCACATTTAATTTATAGCCAAAATTGTTAATTTGTCTTCTTTTATCACCATTATGTACAATATAATTTTTTTGTGTCATGTTGAGGTATTGGGTCCAAGACCATTAATAATATGCTTATATACAAAAGAAAATAAAAACAAAGATAAAATATAAAAAATATAAACAAGCCATCTCATTGACCAATAGACTAATGCATTTTTATATGCAATGTCTGTCGATGTATGCGTGCTACACAGATTTGGCTGCTAAAAAAATTGAATTTCACTGCTTGAATTTTCAACGGAGATGAACATCTCCATTCGCCTCATTGACACCCAGTGAAGAGTAGGTTTTGTCAAAATCAACATTAGGACAAGAATGCCTCCGAAAGATAGTGTTGAATGCAGGATGTTACTCGCAAGCGGAAGCTCACGAAAGACTGCATTTGCCTAAAAAACAAAAAACAGAACAAATCGAACAAACAACACAGAAAAACAACATTTCTGGGAGGGCAGGCGGAGCAGCGAGTTGTTGGAAAGTGACTCGGGGGGGAGAGGAGCGGATGCTGGGCAACCATGGGTTTGCTACGGTAGTAGCAAGCCGACGTTGAGCGCACATGCATGGGGGGTGAGGTTGAAAGGCGAGGTGGGTGGGTCACACCTTCGGTTTAAAACGGTGGTAGACTACGGTCAGTTCGGGGAGGGTGTTGTACGAAACCCCGTCAAAGCCGTACGGAGGGCACCGGTTGGTGGACCAGAGGACATCGGGCAGCGTTTGAACATCGGGGTTACACGGGAGACAGAGCGCGCGCGCGCGTTTTTGTGATTCGGCAGGTAGTCTCTTGCAAACATGAAGCTTGGAAGGGCGTAGCGAGTCGTGCGGAGGGCACAATTGGTGGACCGGAGTAGTTGTGCGACTCGTTCGTAATATGAATTCGCGGCGGCAAATCAGACTGCTGTCCGCATCCATTATACTCTAGATGGTTAGGATACTCGGTTCCCACCAAAGCGACCCGGGTCTAAGTCCCAGCGACGGAAGCTCCTGAGTGAAAAATTGGACTACATTGCCCTTTTTTTTTGTATTTTCTTATTCTTTGTCCTCTCTGCCAGCTCTGCCCTTCTTGTCGTTGCAGTCCTCTCGGCAAGAACCGAAGCCAGGGAGTGACACCCGCAGACAAAGAGAGTGCCCTTCAAACTCCCCGGTTCCTTGGACCTTCACAACCTCACGCCACCTTCGCTCTCACAGTGCCCAAGTCATGGAATTGACTCCATCACTTTCAATCAAAACAACAAATCTTCAAGGAGGTGCCCTTCTAAACTTGTAATCAAGCTTCAAACCATCCCTTCAAACCACCCATACAGCAAATGGTGCAGTTGTGAAGAAATTATCACCATTTTTATAGAAATTTGTGTGGCATGCAGACATCAACAAACCAGGAGGAGAGGAATTATGCCAAAAAGTGCCAAAAAGGGTTGCCCCAAAATTTGTGAAGCATGCAATTTAGGCACAGATGTACCTAAAAAAGAAAGAGTGGTGATACCTTATCATATTCAAGGGTAGATTTGTTATTATTGCAAAAGTGGGGTAGATTTGCTATTATCAAGAATAGAAGAATATTTTTGATATTTTAACATATTTGAGGGGTTTATATGATATTTTCTCATGTAAAAACTTTATTTCCATGTTAAAAATATGATTGTAAATGATTGTTTTTATATGTGCATGAAAGAAGATTAGATTGTGGAGGTTGACATAGCTATTAAAATCTAAAATGAAGGTGGTTGAAAGAAATTTATATGTATAATTAAATTTGGAGAAGATACTTTGATTGACCTTAAATAGAATGATAAAAGCCAAGTTAACAAATCACACACAATGCCTCTAAAATTATTATAAAAGATGTTAACACCTTTCTACTATCTTGTGGTATTTCACATAAATGTTCTAACATTGGATTTTACTTTTTTTTTAATCATTTGATGCATTTATAAATATTTATACAATATAATTGCATCAAATTATATATTTATGTAGACATCACATGCATTTCCTACAAGCCTAATTGAAAGAAATTCAAATTAGTAAAATAATTCTTTTGATAGATGTGTTTCAAGTTACTAAACAATATACTGCACACATAGTTTCTTGTAATTAGTTCTTCATACAAAATAGGCATGTGAAAACAAATGGATTATAGTAATAGTTGTAGTTATCCAAAATAGCATCTCTATTTTAATTTTTTTTATTAGATACAAAGTTGGCCTTAAAATTATTAATACTATTATTTATCAGAAATAGCAAATTGCATCAGAATACACTTACAAATATAAAATTGTATTATATTCTTTGATAGTTTAAGCCAAAAAGAACTAAAAACTTATCATTAAATAAAATTTGTAATAAAACTAAGATTCTAAGTTTATAGTTGTCTTTTAAATTATTCTAGCTTTTTATTTTCTTTTGTTGAATATTTAACTATTTTACAAGGTAGGAAGTTGTTACAAAAATTTGTAGTATATGTATAGGAAATAATAGAATATCATTATTTAAAGTATGGGAAAATAAATAAAAACCAATTATTTTAAGTAATATATTAATGAATAGTGTTTATAATTAAAAATATGCATAATCAATAAATTTAAAACTATAACTTAGATTAATGAATTATTTTATTTCATGTTGGAAATTCACATAATATTTTTAAAACATACTAATACTAAATGTAAAATATAAAAAAATTCTCATCTTTGGACATTAAAAGAAAAAAAAAGAAAAAAAGAAAATAAAAACTAAAAAATAAAAACTAAAAACTAAAATTTCTAAAGAAAATTAAATTTTGGCATTTAAATAAAAAGTATAAGATTTTATAAATGTAATAATAAGAGAATTTGAGATTAATTATTTTATATTAATTAATATTATACTAAAATAAAAAATAATTATTTAAAAATTATAAATAAATAAGATTTTTATATAAAATTTTAAAAAATAATTTAAAGAAATAAAAAAACTAACAATATTTATTTTCTTAATTTTCTTATGAATAAAAAAAATTAAATTTTATCTAAAATTATATTATATTATATGGTATGTTTTTGATTTAGAATTAAAAACATACAAGAACTATGTGTAATAAATAAAAAGAAAACATAAAAATAAACAAAGAATATTAAAAAATCTCAAAATAATAAAATATCCAAAAACAAATCTATATATCAATAGAAATTGATGAATAGTTTTATTTAATTTATTTTGAAAAAAAAAGTGAAAAGACACTTAATATTGTTTATTCATTAATTATATTTCTTTCGTCCTAAACACCAAAAAAAATAAAACTATTATATTGATATTTAAAAAAATTACTTAAATATGTACAATGAGTTATATTAAAAAAATATTTATATATATAAAAATAAGAAAAAACAAGAAAAAATAAAAAAAAATTACAAAAATACAAAGCATTAGCAAAAAAAAGTTAAAAAAGATAAATGTAAGATATATTACTTATCTTAAAGTGGCATAATATTTTTATAGAATGTATATGCATAAGAAAGTACAAAATAATTTTTGATTAGTGTTGCATCTTCTAAGATTGCATCATATAATACTTAATTCAAATAATTATTTTTAAAAATTATTATAGTATACCAATTATAAAAATATAAAAAAAAAATATTATTAATATACATACTAAAATAAAATTTATATAAAAAAGAAAAAAATATATTAAATATATTTTTAATTAAATAATGTTTAATTTTTAATGTTATTTGTTTTATAATATGCAAAATATTTTATCTTTTATTTTTACTTATATCTTTTTAAAATCTCTAATTTTTTAAAGATTTATAGATAGTAAATTTAATGGTTTATAGAAAAATTAAAGTTAAAAAATAAATATATATACACATACATGACACTTAGAAAATAAAAAATAAAAAATATATATATTTTTTTGAAAATCATCAAGAAATATAAGTTAATATGAAACTATGAGCATTATTTACTAAATTTTTGTCATATTTCACACCAATCCATCTTGCAAGACTTTAAAGAAAATTCAAAGCAAGTCTTTGTGATGAATTATGTCACCAATTGTTTTATAGATGTGTAATCAAAAATCATACTAAAAATCAAGTGTTTATTTGAAAATTAAATTTTATCTCTAAAATAATTCTTTAAAAATCCAAAAAACTCTTAAAAGATATTTTATCTTATAAAATAAAAAATCATAATATAGAATCTTAGCAACTCTTGAAGGCAATTATCTTAATTAATTTAAGAATTTTTTTCTTAATTTTGATTATTTTTAATAATTTCTTGAGACCAAAATATAAAATTTAGCTTCTAAAAATAATCATTTTAAATTAGAAACTTAATAGTATTAATTAATAGATAAAAAAGCTTAATAAAGAATATTATGGTTTTTTTTATAATTTATGTAGAAAATAAGAATTTTAATTAAATGAATATAATTTTATTACCAAAATAAAATAAAGTATATTTAATTTAAAATTAGTACATTAAAAATATAAAAATAATTTATAATTTTTATTTATAAAATTTTAGGAATTTCTTAAAATTATATTCAAAACATTTGAAAGAATAATTTTATCACTTTATGAGGGCAATGCAAAGAATTAAAAGAAGATTTGAAGGCCTTAGAAGATTCTTACTTCAATTTAATATTTTTGATTACTATGGTATATTCAAATTTATAAAAAAAAAGATGTATTATT